AGGCGGCTTGCATATACAGGCGACAATTAAATGCCAAAACACACATAATAACAACATAAGCATTAAAACAGTCAATTAAAACATATAGAACTTTAACATCACACAATCCAACATCGTAGTCCAGTTTGTCTTTGCAATATTTCAACTTTCCTTATTGTAGTGATGGCTTACTCAATTGACTGCTTGGTTAAACATCCATGTTTTTAGCCTTCTTCTAAAGGACAGGAAGGAAGAGGCTGATCTAATTTCTCTCAGTAGGGAGTTCCATAGCCAAGGGGCTACCGCTGAGAAGGCCCTGTCTCTCATCCCTGCCAACTAGGCCTGCAAAGGAGGTGGGATCAAGAGCATGGCCTCCCCAGAAGATCTTAATCTCCTTGCTGGTTCATAGAGGGTGATATGTTTGGACTGGTAAGCTGGGCCAGAGCTGTTTAGGGCTTTATATACTAAAGTCAGCACTTTGAATTGTGCTTGGCAGCCAAGAGAGCTGACGCAACAGGAGGGATGTCCTCACTCTGTACACCACTCCGGTGAGCAGCCTGGCTGCTACCCGTTGGACTACTTGAAGCTTCCAGACAGTCTACAAAGGCATCCCCACGTAGAGCGCATAGCAGTAGTATATCCAGGATGTAATAAGAGTGTGGACCACTGTGGCCAAGTCTGACTTCCCAAGGTACAAGCGCAATTGGCACACAAGTTTTAATTGTGCAAATGCTCCCCTTGTCACCGCTAAAACCTGAGGTTCCAGGCTCAACAATGGATCCAGAATTACTCCCAAGCTGCGAACCTGTGTCTTCAGGGGGAGTGTAACCCCATCCAACACAGGCTGTAACCCTATACCCTGTTTGGCCTTACAACTGGCCAGTAGTACTTCTGTCTTGTCTGGATTCAATTTCAGTTTGTTCATCTTCATCCAGATCATCACAGCTGCCAAGCACCTGTTCAGGACTAGAACAGCCCCTTTATCAGTAGGTGGAAAGGAGTGATAGAATTGGATGTCATCTGTGTATATATGACATCAAACTTCAAAACTCCAGTTGATCTTTGACAACAGCTTCATGTAGATGTTACTTTGACAACATGAAGCTTTGACAACAGCTTCATGTAGAACAACACCAGGAACAATACTGAAGCCTGTGGGACCCCACAGGACAATGGCTGTGGGGCCGAGCAGGTGGGGGACACCTTCTGGATGGGCAGGGGTCTAGGATACATGCGATTGCCCTCGCTTCTCCCAGGACTTGTCCACATCCTTGAGCTGCACCAATTGAAATGAATCCATCAAAACTGGACAAGCAGGTGCTCGTGTTACATCCTCAGAGACTGCCATTAAATGGTGTCCAAGTCAGAACAGCTCAGAGCAACTTTGTCTGCAAAGAACCGAGAAAATACTTCACAATGAGCTACCGAATGGTCAGGGACCCCATCCTGTAAGGTGGGGTTTAAGAAATCTCTGACTGTTCAGAATGGCTCAGCAGACGCAATATTGCCGCAAAGAAAGATTTTTTGGCAGCATCAATTGCTACGGCATATGCCCTTAGATAGACACACAGCCGTATTCGGTCTGACTCTTTGCACTCTGAACACCACACACACTCTAGTTCCCTCTTTGTTCACGTCATCGCTGCCAGCTCCTCGTTGAACCAAGGAAATGGTTTAGGGCTGCTACTCGAGAGGGGACGTTCCTGAACAATCGTGTCTATTGCCCTAGTCATCTCCCTATTCCAGAGGCCAGATTACTTCTGTGCAGATATTCTCACTGATTGACTTTGCAAATTTCATGGCTGATCATATGCTAATTCAAGCTTGCTAATTACAATATTCACACTTGCTTTGAATAGACAAGGATTCTTTCTGCCACCCTGGAAATTCCAGACTTATATATACACTCCATTTTCCTCACTGTCAACATAACTTTTGTAGACGGCAGCCACAGATGCAGGCAAAACATTAGGAGCGAATGCTTCTGGAACAGGATATAATTTTGCTTCTTTCCTTCCTAGAGTTTCTGCATCAGAATTCTCTTAGGCTCTGATATTTTAACACCAAAATGTGACTTAAAGTTGAGTTGTATTGTGATGTCAGAGGGGTGTGTCTTGGTGTTGTTGGAAGAGTAGGATTACAAAGGGCAACCCTGGTGATACTATTAAGCACAATGCACTAAGGATAAACCATGGTTGCTTTGAGTAAGCCATTAAAGTGAAAACTAGCAAGTCAAACAAATGAAGACAATCTGAATATGCTCACCCATAAATTTCAAGGCTTGCTTTGAGAAAGATTTAAAATCTGGTTGACTTTGTTAGAAGCACAAAAGATTGAGAGCAGGTAGGCTGGGAGGAAGAGGAGTAAGGTGAGGAGACTGATGTACTGGAAAAGAGTTTAGAATTGCATCTTGTCCAGCAGCTGTTGAGAGCCCCCCGCCCCTCCCCAAGTGTCAGCTGTCATTCTGCTGGACACTGAGTGGGAGGCAGCCTGCCAGACACAGCTCCACCCTGTCTTATTTATTACATCTTATCTATCACATGTAGGTTGCAAACCTGAGAGCAAATTAATGTTTTGCAAACCACTCTGAGAGCCTTTGTGTCCAAAGAGCGAGGTATAATAAATACTCTAAACAAAATTAAAAATCAAACAAAAAATCTGGTTGGCTCTGTTGAAAAGTCAGGAGATTGAGAAACTAGGAGCAACTAAAGTGGGAAGAAGAGATCAGTTTTCTGGGAAAAGGTTTAAAATCTGGCTAGAGCTGCTGGAAGGAAAGGAGATTGAGAGACTGGGAGGAAGAGGAGTGGGTGAAGAGATCAGTAGACTGGAAAGGCGTTTAAAATCTGGCTGGAGTTGTTGGGAGGACAGGGGATTGAGAGGAGAAGGGATGGCAAGAAGATTGAGCTAGAGCAGCAACAAACTCATGAATGATGAAATCAAGAGTGTCTTCAACTCAAGCGTGTGTGTATGTATCCAAGCAATTTCTGATTTACGGTAGCCCTACAGTTACCTTATCATGGGACTTCCTTGGTAAGATACGTTCAGAGAGGGCATGCCATTGCCTTCCCCTGAGTGTGAGGGACTAGAGATTTGAGCCATAGTCTTAATCCACTCAAACTGTTATGCCATGCTGGCTCTCAATCAGTTCAAAAAGGGTCTATCAATGACCAGGCAGTAGTTGTCATACAATGTTGGTCTAGGAAGGGCTTTCTGGTGAATGGTTGAATATTTCCTTGGAAGCAGCAGGTAACATTCATGAATTAGAGAATTAGAGTTGGAAGAGATTCCAATGGCCATCCAGTCCAACTTCCTTCCATGCAGGAATACACAATCAAAGCACTCTCAAAGGATGGTCATTCAGCCTCTGTTTAAAAACCTCCAGAGGAGACTCCACCACACTCCAAGGGCCCATCCAGACAGGCCCAAAATGCAGGACCTGTCTCAGTTTTTACCGGAGGCATCCAAACGATGCCTCCAGTAAAAACAAATTAATTAAATACCTCAATAGATTCGGGTCTTCCTGAAAGGGCCGTGTCTAATGAGGTATTATGCCTGTCGGGACTGACTCTCAGGATTGCTTTTGCAGTCCCAGGGGTGAGTTCCATAGACATCCTGCACCTTTTGGGCTCTGGTAAGTCTGGAGGCCTAAATGGGCTTCAGGGTGGCTTCATGCCATCCTGATTTGGCTCCAAATGGTATGTAGCTCCTACCCCCGGAAACACCCGTATTTGAGTTAGGGGGTGGGGATTACAACCTGCACCAAAGCGGATTAAAGTAACCTGCTTTGGCATGGGTTATAGGGCTGTCAGGAAGCGCCCCCAGGCAACATATTTTGCTGTCAAACAGCTTTTACTGTCAAAAAGTTTTTCTTAATGTTTAGGTGGAATTGCTTTCACTGTAGTTTGAATTCATCATGCAGCAATATATTCATCAGTCCCCAGACCCAAAGTGGCAACTCCTTATCGCTGTCTTGGATAAGCCATGATGGGCATTTGTGGGTCGGACAGCTGCATGCAACTTGTCTATGTCCTCAAGCTTTATCAAGTGTCAATAATCTCACAAAACAGGATAAGGCAGACCATTAGGCCCTTTATTTGCATCAACAGCTACATTCAGACTGATGTAGAGACAGGAATTTGACTCCCCAAAGTAGCCAAGTTGTCACATCAGGCCACAGACAATTTTGGACTACTATTACTTAGAGTTGGTGAGTCCCTATATCAAGAGAAAAGTGGGATAAAAATGAAGTAAATAAATAAATAAGTAAATGAATAACAAACTCTGCCACTTAGAAAAGCAAAACCAGACCGCTATTGAGGATGGAAATTTTCTTCTTGGAATTAAAGATGTTAAGCACCGGGATTGTGGCGCAGCTGGCTGAGTGTCAGCTGCATTAAGATCACTCTGACCAAAAGGTCATGAGTTCGAAGCCAGCCTGGGTTGGAGTGGGTTTCCAACCATGTGTAGCCTGTTGTCGACCTTTGCAACCCGAAAGACAGTTGCATCTGTCAAGTAGGAAAATAAGGTACCACCTTGTGTGGGAGGCTAAATTTAACTAATTTATGAGGCCATAAAGAAAAAAGACTCCGGGGAATGTGGAATGCGGAAGAACTTCATCGGTGTCGTTGATGGACGATGAAAAGCAGCAGCTCCCCTGGCGGCCAGAAAAAAAAAAGAAGTTAAATAGCCTCGGTGTATTTGTCTGTTAAATGTTGTCTGTCAAACTGGCATTGAATGTTTGCCATATATGTGTTAACTGTAATCCGCCCTGAGTCCCCTGCGGGGTGAGAAGGGCGGAATATAAGAACTGTAAATAAATAAATAAATAATAAATAAGCATGTGTTCTTCCATGAAGCTATGAAATTTTAAATTACTAACTTCATGAGAGTTATAATTTTAATTTCCTCCTTGTTAATAGAAAGGCTCAATGAACAGATGTAAAATCTGTCTGTGTTTCTGAATATGTGAAGGGCTCCTTACATTTTACTTCTGCAGTTAATGTTCTATATTTTGTGCACAGCTCAAGAGGGCGCAGGCAACTAGTGGCTCTGAATCAATCTGGTGTCTGTCGCTATGGTTCGAAGCTTGACTGCTGCTATGGCTGGAAAAGAAATAGCAAAGAACACTGTGAAGGTAATAGTGCAATCTTGTTTTTGCCTTACTTCTAGAAATGCATGTTTACATCTAAATGAATTTGGCCAAACAAACATCCCAAAACGTGGAGACATAGTGGTGCTTTACATGAGAGAAGGCTTAAGCAGAACGGATTGATTCAATGTATTTTAATGATGCCTGAAAGACTACCGTATCCTGGTCATTTTACCTTATTGTTTTCTAGGGGCATTCTGAAAGTACAGTAGAGCTTCACTTATCCAACATAAACGGGCCAGCAGAACATTGGATATGTGAAAATGTTGGATAATAAGGAGGGATTAAGGAAAATCGTATTAAACGCCAAATTACATTATGATTTTAAAAATTAAGCACAAAAACATCATGTTTTACAACAAATAGACAGAAAAAGTCATTCAATACATGGTAATGTTATGTAGTACTTACTGTATTTACGAATTTAGCACCAAAACATCGCAATGTGTTGAAACAGCTGTGGATCCGGGCAGGAGGCAGACTGCGTTGTATAGTACAGAACATTGGATGAGTGAAGGTTTGATAAGTGAGACTTTACTGTTGTAGCCTGCAGATGTTTGATACTCAACTCTGCACAATACATGTGTGGGTCTGAGCGTAATGTGTGGCCTAGCTCACTTTTTCAAGTCATTTCCTCCATGTATAGATTATTTTCTGATCTGGTACACTTGTGTCTGGATTGTATTATCATCTGTAGGTACCTGGTGTGGTATCCAAATAGTATTATTCAGTAGGAGATCTGTAAGTGTGTGAAATAGTTTGTTTTTATTTTTGTGTCCCTTCCAGATATTTCTGACCTGTGGCAACCCTCAGGAGAACCTATCACAGGATTTTCTGGACAGTATTTATTCAGAAGAGATTTTCCATTGCCTTCCTCTGAGGCTGAGAAAATGTGATTTCTCTAGTGGGTTTCATGGGCAAGCAGGGATTTGAACACTGGTCTTCAGAGTCATAGTCCAATGCTCAAATCATTGCACCATACTGGCTTCTTCTTAAATAACGTAGAAGCATTCCTCTATTTCAGGAATTAGCAACTATCTCTGAGCCTCAACATGGATTTCTGGCTTTGTTTAAAAAATCATTAGTATCTACCTAAAGCTTAATTGGTAGAAATCTCAGGGGAAATTCTGGCCTTGAGTGAGCCATGTGGAGAAATTTATAGACTTACACTTTTGATTAAATGGCCTATATATTTTTCAAATGTCCAAATTATTTGGGGACTGAAGATTTCTGTCTGGCATTCTAGTGTAAACACATCCGAGTATTACCCCCATTGGCGCTCAGTTTTCAGACCTTTAAGGAATTAGTTTCATGAAGAACGTATAGTTATTTAATGACCTTTGAGCTTTTAATAAAACTTAGCATAAACACAAGGGAGCATTTGAACTCTTTCTCCATCTGGATTTTGGCAGGAATGAATGAACTCATAAAATGTTGACTTTAGGAGTTGTTTCTTTCTTAGACATTACATCTGTTCTTCTGATGAACTAAGCTTTGGGTATCTAGCACAAACTGAACAAAAATTCACGTCTTCATTGATCTGCTCACCAGACTGTTGTCTAATGTGGACAGTTGCCAGTAGAGCCTTCCCTCCTTCAACCTATATTAATGAATATTGCAGATAACAGTCTTAGTTGAATGCACCTCCATCACCTCCATATGTTGAATGGAGCAGTTCTTTATTAATAATGTTCTTGTCCTGTTTGTATAACCTAATTCAGCTGTTCCACTATATGGTGCGGTAAGAAGGGTAACTTATAAAAGTCTTTCGAAGATCCTGTTGGAACTGAGTATATGAAAATAGTCACACAATATCCCATTTTCAAAACCTTTTTACTTTCTTCTTCTGATGGAGTGCTGGTTTTTGTCAGACATTATATATGATAAAGATATATATTCAGCTGAATTAAGATGCAGACTTTATTGGTTGCATTGTTTTTTTATTTTATCACAGTAGGCCACTTTTGCTAAGGATTCCTTTATTTTTGGGGGGAGGGGAGGATAAATGTGTGTTGGCAAAGTACCATTAATTTGCAACCAAGAAATATAGCTAAATAATTTTGAACTATAACAAACCATTAAATAATTTGAAATCAAGAATGGTTATTAGATAATTTGAAACCATGAAATATCATTAAATCCTAATGCAGATTATTTAAGTATTTTAATATTGTTCAGGATAACATTTTAAGAGGCAATGAAATTCAGGCGTGTTAAGCTTGAAAAGCTCTGAATAGCTGCCAAAGCCCTCTTGCAACTCTGCTCCAAGACAAACAAAATTGTACATTTACAGGGGGGATGCCCCATATTTATGAACAGGAAATGCAGTATGCTGTGACCAAACTGCTTACAGATGCAGATACATAGAACATATTGAATGCATAAAGAAGATTTGGGAGGGGGGGGGGCGCACAGGGCACATCTTGCTTAGTCATGCCTGCAGATGTAGTTCTTTGTGGAAGCTCATATTGTGGGCAAAGTTTCAACATGGATTTCATAGGGGGAAGAACTGAGCGAAAAGACAGTCATACCTCCCACTCCTAGCCATTTGTTGCATTATGTTTGTGGATCTCCAGAATCACAGAGTTGGAAGAGACCTCTTGGGCCATTCAGTCCAACCTGCCAAGAAGCATGAAAATCGCATTCAAAGCACCCCCAACAGATGGCCATCCAGTCTCTATTTAAAAGCCTCCAAAGAAGGAGCCTCCACCTCAGATCAGGGCACAGAGTTCCACTGCTGAACACCTTTCACAGTTAGGATGTTCTGCCTAATGGAAAAAGCTCAGCTATAGTTCACACTTTTATCTTTGGAAGCTACTTCTGGTCCAAGATCTATGTCAATTACCAGGCTGTCCTTCTGCATAAGTCCACCGTGGGAATCTCATGGCTGGTTCACCACATGTCTTAGTTTACAGTAGACATCTTTCTTATTTCTAGGGCTCTCAGGAGATGGTCCCTCACCTGAGGAAATCTTCTACTAGAAGGGTTGCTCAGTATCCAGTGATATCATTGTGCAAGCACAAGGTCCATTGCTCAGAATTATTTGTAGTGCAAGTGTAGTTTCCTTTTGTGCAAGTGGTTGCACAATATATTGGACATGCAGACTACCTCTTCTACATAGGAAAGAAACAGCAGTAATGTAATACTTGATGTGCTAGTAATACATTTGATCTAGATCCATCTCCACTATAAAGATAAAAAGAAGCTTAAGAGAGAACAAGGAATTGGCCAGCAAGATTTAGCATCTGAAGATCAGGCTTGCTGGCAGATCCATTGCTACAAAAGCGATGACTCCACTCTTGGTTTTATGGCATCTCTTCTTGTAACTGCTGTGGGTTGTATTGGAGCTCTTCCAGTTCTGAACTTCTGTCAGAAATAGAGTCTAGTACTTGGATGGCTTCCGGTTGACCGAGAGCAACAGCATGGGTTCACTGCCCCAGCAGCAAGGGAGTTACCAGACATCCCTGAAGCTGATCCAGCATACAAGTGATCATGATCTTCCACACTACTGAAATTCAAATTTTGCATCTCACACACATTAGAATATGCAGTTTTATGTCAGTTTGTACCTTGTCTCCTCACCTCCTCCTTTTTTGCTGATGTGGAAATTGTAACCATATGCTTTCAGCTTGGCACTCAGGTAGATGTTCCAGTATGAATTGGTCCCTGTATAGGACTGCCTCAGAATTTGCAGTTGAAAGTGAGGGAGTGTGGTGCAATAACTGAGCATTGGACTATGATTCTGGAAAGCAGGGTTCAAGTGTGTTTTTAACCATGGAACTCACTGGGTGACCTTGGATAAGTCACATTCTCTCAGCCCCAGACGGAGACAATGGCAAACCTCCTCTGAACTAAATCTTCACAAGAAAGCACTGTGCTAAGTTTTCCTTAGGGTGGCCATAAGTCAAAAATGACTTGATGGCACACAATAGCAATGATGGTTTGGATGTAATGATCATATAACCATGAGGCACAAAATAGTTAGCAAGTTTATTAAAAAGACATCCAAACAGCTTAACGAAGCCAGGAGGCCCATGTGGTAAATTCGGGGGAAAGTGGTAATGAGGATCTATGCATACATTTCTTCCTATTCTCTCATTAGACCATTGCTAGAATGGACTGAAAATAATGATTGGCACAACAATTAGAAAAACAGCTGAGGCCATCCTGTTATTAACATCCCTGGTGGTCCTACCCAGTAGAAAGAAAAGCTAATAACAGTGAAAAGACACCAGTTTTTCTTTAAAGAGAGAGGACGGTATGTATAAAAGTAGGATTCATGGCAACCAGCCATTGTGAGACTTGGGTGGTATATTAAGATTTGGAAATTTTAAAAAGTGCTAGGATCCCAGTGTTAGCTAAACTTGAAGTCTTCTTGTTCCCATGATAATAATATCCAGATCAATTGCATGAAGTTTAAAGTCAGTTTAAAAAGAACTGAAATATATCATAGCTTCAAATAGATCTGGTGACAATTGGAAAGGAAATAAAGTAAGAAATATATGGAAATAAATACTTTTTGGAGAGTGTTTATTAAGGTAAAGAAAATAAATTTTTCCTATCCACATATTATATTGAACCAGACCCCTCAACAGTTGCAAAAACCTTAGTAGATAAGTAGGTTGATAGGAAGAAAGGAGCCCTTGAGAAGTAGCTCATGCAAATATTTTCTGGGCCTTTTGGGAAAGCATTTTTTTCTTTATTTTTAGACCACCCTATCTCCCTTAGGAGGACTCAGGGCGGTTTACACATACAGAGGTTTACAGAGGTTTACACATACATTCAATGCCTGGTATATACCAAAACATTACAGCAATAAACATAATACGGAATAATAACAGCATTGTACTAATCAAATGAAATTAAATATCAAAATAAAAACACAGAACAACTAATCACATTCCTTTGATATTGATCTAATTGCCCAGAAAATTCATTAAGATGCAGACTTTTTTTTGCAAAAAAAAAAAATAGAAAACTTTAATGAAAAGAACATTAATTGTAGGATACATCGTTTACCATTTTACTGTATAAGTAACAATTTTGATCTCTTCTTGTTTAAAGCTGCTATTTACCCACAAAATCTATACTATCTTATTTTTATACTTTGCTTACAATAATCATGGTTTTAATTACTGTAGACATTTTTGACCAAGCAAAACGGACAACTTTTTCAACCTGCATTAGGCCTTCATCAACAATCCTGTTGTTCTTATTACTACTATTTGATTCAAAACAGCTGCTATTTGGGTGCGTTTAGTTGTGTGTGTTTTGATATTGTGTTTATTGACATCTAGCATTAAATTATGAACCACAAAGGAATTTGATACATTTTCCAATTGTGCAGCTGGTTCCACTAGGACCTGTACAGCCAGTAGCACAAACTATGGGCACGTCTATTGATTGGTTCCATTTACTCAGCTGGAAAGAAACAAGAGGCTTCTGTTAACATAGTGTTTTCCTCTGCTAGCATTATGTCACCATGCTTACTGTTTTTCATATTCCCACTTCCACAGCCACCTGTGAACATGGGTGCAAATATGGTGAATGTGTGATGCCAAACAAGTGTAAATGTTTTCCTGGATTCACAGGGAAAACCTGCAGCCAAGGTATGATGAATATATCATTCTTGTATAACATTTTTCTAACTTCACAGTGCAATCTTAAATTGGCAAAAAAAAGTGAAAGACAAGCTTTTATTAGACCAGGTGAAGTTGTGCTGGTGCCAGGGATTTTTTCCATTTGTGATGTTGAAAATTACTTAGGCTATGGTTTAACTTTATGTCAGCATTATTGGCACACTCTTGAATTAGAAGAGGTTTGGATCTGGTATAAATCTTCTGGTTTCCCTATCCCTGATCAAAACCCTTTTGGTTTTTCTGCTTGCAGATAGTCAATGGAGCAGTTGCTCTCTGGGAGCTCTTTTAGGCATTTTTGCCAAAAGAAGTAATTTATTCCTAATGTAAGGCCACTTCCTTATGTAAGCCCCCAGTGGCACAGTGGGTTAAAGCACTGAGCTGCTGAACTTGTTGACCAAAAGGTCACAGGTTCGAATCCAGGGAGTGGTGGGAGCTGCCGCTGTCAGCCCCATATTCTGCCAACCTAGCAGTTTGAAAACGGGAAGGTAAAGGCACTCCATGCAATCATGCCAGCCACATGACCTTGAAGGTATCTACGGACAACTCCAGCTCTTCGGCTTAGAAATAGAGATGAACACCAACCCCCCAGAGTCAGACACGAGTGGACTTAATGTCAGGGGAAAACCTTTACCTAAGGCCACATAGTGAATTCATTTCGAAATTAAGTTGGCACTTAGAGCTTTCATGCAATCAGCCTTGAGGATAAATAATTTATTATGGAATCTTGTGAATTGAGAACAGATAAAGAGTACTTAAAAACAATAAACTGGGCACCACTTTATTTTGAAATAATGTAAATTAGATTGTCTGGTCTTTTCACCTCAACTACTATAATCAAATAATTGATGGCATTGCTATAGCAAGAGTGGATCAATATGTATATTTTCAATATGTTGCTCTAGTACATAAAATAATAGTACACTAAAAGGGAGTAATTTTAATGACCTTATTACTTGCAGTTGGAAGAGCAAACTCTGCATTGCATTTAAATCTTTTTTCCCTTTGTGGGCAAATAATAGTAACTTGTTTTTCATTTCAGCAATTAAGCCTTATGCATGTTTTTAGTTGAAATCCCTTTTCTGCACAGGCTGTTCTGTTCATGTGGATTTCCATTTGAATTTATTCCCTACAGCCACAAAAATTTCACAGGGCTCTACAAACCACGTGAATTATGTTACAATGTTTGTATTTCACTTGTATTATGTCTCTCTACATAAGATATGTCAGGCAAGTCAATACTTTGGAGTTTAGTTAGCCAACTACACTCTCAATGGGATTCATTTTCAATAAGTGTGAAACTAGAGCCATAGAAAAACAATCACATTTTTGGTATAGGGATTTAGTCCCCCAAGTTTGATTTTGTAGTAACTTAAGACTTCCATCCTCTATATCCTATTTTCCAAGAGCTTGGGAAGTTAATTTTGAAGAGTTAACTACACACAGTAAAAGTATCAATGGCCCTAGAATGCCATAGTAATAAGTACTTTTAGCTACTTTAAAGAGGAAATCTCAACTGTATAGGCTACTGACTGATAGTACACTCTTTTCTGTCCATCCTCAACTTGCCTCAATGCCCAAGAAAGATTCCTGGACAGAAATAGGAAGCAATGTATGAGGTAACATTTGGACCCTATGATATTCCCCCTTGACCGTTTGGCATAGCAACTTGTGACATGTAAGGTATAGTAAGCCTATAGAATAAATTCTGAATGTATTAGGCCACTCTTTCTAGTATCTTATGTAATATGTTTTAAGTTTAAAAACACTTTTAAAATAACAAAATAACTTTCAACTTACATAGCATTGTCAATTTTAATTAAGAGAAATCTCCCTATCTTTTAATTTTTGCTTTCATTTACTGTGATTTTGTTGCTGCATCTGTTGTCTCTGAAATGTCAAGCTGCAGCAATTAATGTAAGAAGGAATCTTGGAATTGAGTCCAGCTAATGCAATTTTCACATCCTCTATTTAAGCTATGCATTCTCTGTGGACTGAAAGAAACAGTTCTCTGGCTTGCAAAACTACCCAAACACGTGGACAGAGGCTGATGTCATTGAAACTGGATGAGAATTGAGGTTCTCCCTAATAGAACTTTTGCTTAAGAAATGACAGTACAGTCACATACTATGTACAACAATACTTTTTTTTTCTTCTGAAACAGATTTTATTGACAGTATCTTTATTAAACAGTGAATAAACAAATGAAAGAACAAGAAAATCTGCATCTTCAAATGTATATTTTTTTGCATGGAACCAGTTACAGGGAGAAAGCAGTTTGCATCTGAACTGTAGCTTAGCAGGCTTTCTTTTCTTTCTATTTTTGATTTGTGATGAACAAACTGCTGGCCTTGCAAAATTCAGTCTGTCTCCTGCTTTATTTTTTGATCGTAGGCCAAATTTCTCTACAATCTTTAGTTCTGCTCTATTTCCCCTTTTTCTCATTCTACTAGGCTATGATTAACAAAAACCCTGTTTTACTGTGTGATCAATCTCTTTCTGAACTCCATATTTATTTATTTTTAGTTTCTTCTTCTTCTGCCTCTGGAGCATAAAATTGAATTATGTTTATATTGATACGTTTTCCCCAAAGTCTTATTGATATAAATCGGTTTGCCTTTACTTTATATCAGTGGTTCTCAACTTTTTTTTGACCAGGGCCCACTTTGACCAGGGACTCCAACACATACACATAAACACATTTATATAATCGATATAAATAAAAATGTAATGTTTGTTTGTGTGATTAACATAACTCAAAAACCACTGGATGAATTGACACCAAATTTGGACACAATACACCTATCAAGCCAACAAGGGACCATCACTCATAAAAACACTGAAAAACACAGCAGAAAATGATTAAAAAGCCAAAAAAACACCCCAAAAATTACAACGCATGTGCAAAACCACATATATACACAAACACACATATATACACATATATACACAAATATATACACACACAAAACACATATACACAGACTGGGCCACAGCAATGCATGGCAGGGGATGGCTGGTGTAATATATAAACCTTTCTTGAGGCTCTAGGAGAAACCTTTGCTTCAAAAAGGCCTAGGTGGCTGAAAAAGTTTAAGAACCTCTGCCCTAAAGATCTCAAATCTCAGACAGGGAGAAAACTATATAGGACTTTTTGGGATATTAGTAATATTTTGAATTGTGTCCTACACTCTCGCTTTATGTTTGAGTGATTTTGCCTCAAGTCGTAGTGACAGTGAGATAATACTTCATTATTTTATGGGTATGGGATTATATTATACTTATGTGGTTTACAGTTGGATGCCTGAATTACAGATACTTACCATGGCCAAGTCTAAGAACTTTTGACTTAACGATGACAAGATTAAAGGTCAGTCTGTAAATAACATTGTACTTACAGCTGTTTTATTTATTCTCCTGCCTGTGTAATAGTTCAACTGATACTAAATAATTCCTTGGATTCTATGAGGTGTGCATTCTTCATGCAGATGGTCTGTTGATTTTCTTTCTTTCCCCTAAACATCTGGGTCTGTCATATCGTAGATGTATATTTTTCCAATGATAATTTAATCCATGACATTAGAATAACACATTTTCTCCACAAACATTTCCAAACTCAGTTATTTCGATGATTTCTGCAGATCTCAATGAATGTGGATTGGAACCGCATCCTTGCAAACACAGGTGTATGAACATGCACGGCAGCTACAAGTGCTATTGTCTTAATGGGTACATGCTCATGCCAGATGGCACCTGCACAAGTAAGTAAACACTGAATTACTCAGTAAATGCGACAAGATTAAATCTATATTGTAAGTAATCACAAAATACAGGAAGTCTACACTGTAGTTTACAGTTTGACTACCATGGCTCAATGTTATGGAAATCTGGGAGTTGTAGTTTTATGAGATTTTCAGCCTTTTCTGCCAAAGAGTGTGCTTCCCTCATTAAACTACACTACCGTGTAGATTCGCCCTATGTCAGATAAAGTGGAACATGACAACAATGGTCCCAAAAAGAAGACATTCCAGTTTTAGAAGAGACCCATGCTAAGATCATGCTGCTGCTACAGTATCTCATTTATGGCAGTAGTCACATTGGCATTCTAGAATGCCAGGATCAATTTTAAAAAATGGAAGATGAACATTGTTGTTGTTCATTCGTTCAGTCGTCTCCGACTCTTTGTGACTTCATGGACCAGCCCACGCCAGAGCTCCCTGTCGGCCGTCACCACCCCCAGCTCCTTCAAGGTCAGTCCAGTCACTTCAAGGATGCCATCCATCCATCTTGCCCTTGGTCGGCCCCTCTTCCTTTTGCCTTCCACCTTCCCCAACATAATTGTCTTCTCCAGGCTTTGCTGTCTCCTCATGATGTGGCCAAAGTGAACATATACAACTAAAATTTATTTATTTACTATTTATTTATTTACTATATTTCTATACCGCCCCTCTCAGCCCGCACACAAAATCAATTCTAGAGATATTTCCTTGGGAACACAATTCCATACATCATGGCTCCTATCATCACTTGCCTATTTTCAGATGGTCAGGAAACACGGAGAGGACATCCAATGAAGAACATAAGATTAAGGCAAATTCAGAAGGCAACCTTTCATGTAAACAGAGCCTCATAACATATCAAAAATACTTGCAATTCTTCCAAGAAATTGAACTGGTTTTTCTACAGCAGTTTCCATTGTCAGAGAGATAATCCGTTTTCTAAACTGAAGAAAGCCCTGTATTTCATTGGCAATGGAAACAGCAGTTGTCAGCAAAGCAAGAACGCACACATATCCTGATGAGTCTTCCTTGTAATACTATATTTGATATGAATAATGCTCATGTTCTTAAGGACTGAATTCTAAGAAAAAGTTCTTCAATTAATACATGCAAACTTCTTATTCACAGTTCCCAGTTTGGTAGTCTATCCTTTGACAAACATTGTGTTCTTAAAGATTCCAGGACATGTGCCATGGTGAATTGCCAATATGGTTGTGAAGAGATGAAAGATGATGTACGATGCGTGTGTCCATCAAGTGGACTTCAGTTATCACCGAATGGGAAAACATGCATAGGTACATCTATCAATCTATTTGCCTATTTATCTTCCTCTTTATTTGTATTCCTTCCTTCCTCTTCTGTTTATTTACTTGTAGGAAAATAACTACAGTAATTCAAAGGGTTCTAACCAGAAGAATTGAACAACTATAATGGTAGAATAAAGATAATTGAAAACAGTAGCAAAACACTCATCTAAGGGCACTTCCAGGCATGGCTAAAACCCACACAAAAATGGGTTAAAATAACCCACTTCTTTGTGGGTTCTAGTTCCCATCCCCAACCCAAACCATGGGCTTTGCTTGCTGGAGAGGGGGGGGGGGAGTTGCTACATGCTATCCTGAGTCAAATTGGGATGGCATGAAGCCACACCGAAACCCCCATTTGGATCCCAAAACTTCCCAGTGAGGCTTACCGGCAGCACAATCATCTTGCCAGCAGCATAGTCTTCTCTCTACAGCCCTTCTAGCATGAGAAAATGAGTGTTGGGGGGGGGGGGGATCCCTTCTCTCCCTTCACTCCCTTCACCTCCAGACGCACCATTTTCTCACACCAAGAGGACTGTAGGGATAGGACAATGCTGCAAGCAAGCCTTGTCAGTAAGGTTTGAGGCCAAATGGAGGGCTGGAGGGGAAGAGGTGGGCGCCATCATGCTCCTCTCGGCTTTTTGGAGCCTGAAGATGCAGGATGGCTGTTGGGACTGACCCCTGGGACTACAGAAGCAGTCCCCGGGTCAGTTCCAACAAGCCCAGCCCCTCAAAAAACCCAGACCTTTCAGTTAGGCCCAGACTGGTTGAGGTGTTTAATTGATGTAGAGTAAACTGGTACAATTTGAAACAACACCTCAGGTAAAAGCGAATTAACGTGGTGTAACCTGTATGGACATCTCTGGTAAAAGCGAGACAGGTCCCATGTTTTTGGCCTGTCTGGAAGGATCCTAAGGCCCCTTCCACAACACCTCTATACTCCAGGATCTGATCTCAGATTATCTTCTTATCCCAGATTATCTGGCAGTGGAGACTCATATAATTCAGTTTAAATAACATAATCTGGGATCAGATACTGGAATATAGGGCAGTGTATTTACTGCAGCTGCAACATTTTATTCCCACTCTCGAGTAGGATTTTTAAAAAAATTCCATATCAGAACAATATGTTTCATTTTCTAGTTCTTTCTTTTTAAAATAATTGTAGAAATATAGTGTATCACTGAACAAGCACCTTTGCACTATAGCTCCATAACTTATTAAAAAATTCAGAAAGGACTAAATTTGTCATTCAGACTATTGGACCAACTAAACAAATAACATAAGTATTTCAAATATATTTGAAAGATTCCAAGAGTAAATCCAAGAAACTGCTATAACCTGAGTGGAAGGAGAGAATGCAGAGATGACAACTGAAAAAAAAATCTATGTCAGGATAATGCATGCATCTTTAAACACATCTGGAAGAGTCCTTAGTGTGTTTTTATTTTATTTTATTTTTTACAACTGTGGTTATATCTGATGCTTAGAAATGGAGAAGGGTTTGGGTTTTTAAAATATATTTTGCAGAGAAGAGGTATACTTCATCTCTGGGGAACTTTTAGAGTCTAGCAAAAGGTTGACAAGTGAAGGAAATGAACTCTTAACTGTGATTGTAGGCATCCAAAACCTCTCAAGCAGCATATTCATTAAACATATCAAGCTGGAAGCATCGCTCCACGGAGAGAGCCTGCTACTTTTCTCATACAGCTGTAGCATCAAGCTGTACGTGTATACATGACCTCAGGATGTTTTGGGGGAACCACACAATGAGCTCATATGAATTATTGGTCCATCTGCTAAACAATAAAGGTGCCAAAAATACTTTTTACTCCTTTCTCCCCAAAACTGTTGGAACTCACTGAAACATCTATTTTGACCTAACACAGGAGGTCCAGAACTTGGAAACTTCTTTTTACTACAGTTCCTGAAGTCGGCAGAGCTAATCACCTGATATTTTGGGGTATAATATGAAAGCAGGAAACACAGTTCAATCTAGAAGACAGATTCCTCACATACTCGTGTAGTTATATTTCAATTTGCTTCATTTGTAACACACTTAACACTAATTAAATCAATGAAAACTTGGGATTAGGAGGTAAGGATTCTGGATCTCTTTCATATTACACAGTTATGGCACCATGATGCAACTATAAAGGTTGTATCCTATCAAATCCTGGAATGTCTAGTTTAATGAGACACTGTGGGAGCTCTTTGAGAGTTCAAGACACTCCTCTCTAAACTGCAAGTCATGGGATTCCATATGAAGGTGCCATGGCAGTTGGAGTGGATCTATAGTGCAATAATTGTGTAGTGTGATAGAGCCAATGAAGTAAGGATCTCATCTGTGGACTAAGGGCCCTTCCACACAGCCATATAACCCAGAATATCAAGGTGGATAATCCACAATATCTGCTTTGAAGTGGGTTATCTTAGTCTACACTGCCATATAATCCAGTTCAATGTGGATTTTATACAGCTGTGTAGAAGGTGCCTAAGAGATGGGTAATGCAACCCTTCCCCACAAAAACAAGTGGCTTGATATATATAGTTTGGGCAGAACAGAATCAGAGAACTCCATTAAGCCCTCCAAAGTGTGTAGGTGAGTACAGTCCCTAACTCTCCCCAAACTGCCCTTTTTCTGGCAAATGGAAAGATTCATGAGCAGCCGTTTGCCTTTTAATAATATGGCAAGCTCCCACTGCACCTATAAGATATATATATATATCTTATAGGTGCAGTGGGAGCTTGCCATATTATTAAAAGGCAAACGGCTGCTCATGAATTCCTTCCATTTGCCAGAAAAAGGGCAGTTTGGGGAGAGTTAGGGACTGTACTCACCTACACACTTTGGAGGGCTTAATGGAGTTCTCTGATTCTGTTCTGCCCAAACCTTTAGGAGAGTAAATAATGGTTGTTCTGGCAGCAGAACATAATGAAAAAAGACTTGGCACTCTTTTTCAGCTTTCAGAGCTTTACTATCAATGCTTGTTGAAAATATGCATTTGTTTCTTGGGTTTATATTCTTCCTTTCTCCAAATATGGGATTCAAGGTGGCTACCCAAAATGCACATATTTGTAGAGTAGTAAATTGCATCTTAATTTCTCTCCCTAATATTTAAAATTTGATATTTTGTAACCATTTTCAGATTTGGAAAGGAGACTAGTTTTTCCCATTGCAGAATGAAGGAGGAATGAAGGTGAATATGTGGATATAGGAGGGAATAGGCACCTGTGTGCCCTTTGCACCGATGTAATGGGGTGGCATCAGCACAGGTTTGCAACACATTAGGAACAGACTACATAGGGAGGTGGTTTTCTGTGTTGCATTATGACTATAGTATTGTAGGACCTTCAAGAAAGTCGACGGAAGGTGGTTTTTCTAGAAAATTGTTTTATTCTCATACAACATGTTGTAGGTACAAAGTACAGCTTGAAAAAATGCTTTTTGCAACCTAGTAATATTCAGCATGTTGTATTTTTCTGGAATATTACAAAGGTGATATTGAAAGTCTGGTACTTGACATTCAAGAAATCATTCTAGAGTTACTAGGCTGATGTTTCCCCCAGAGAAGCCTGTTGAACAAAAGATACTACCAGGGTTATCCAGAAAGTAAGGTTACAAGGCGCATAGCTCTCGCGGGGAATTTTCCCTGGGGAAGCTGGTATTACTGCCATGTAGCAGGAAGCCAGCGGAAGCGAACGAGCAGTGCTAATCGACTGGCATTGTTGTGAAGATTAGAGATGAGAATCCTCATTCCGTTTCCTCCAAGTGCAAAGTTTGCGCTGCGATTCATCACAAAATCATTGATGGCCAATTACAATTAGATTGGACAATGTTATTTAAATAATTGTTATGGCCATATCCTATTTACAGCGATACTCATTCAGTTTTTGTTGTATCACTTTTCTCCCCCAAGTGGGTCATGGAAGAAGCAGGAGGCAAACGTGTTTATTTGTTCAGTCGTCTCCGACTCTTCGTGACCTCATGGACCAGCCCACGCCAGAGCTTTCGGTTAGCCATCATCACCCCCATCTCCTTCAAGGTCAAGCCAGACCCCTCAAGGATAACATCCATCCATCTTGCCCTTGGTCAGCCTCTCTTCCTTTTTTCTTCTATTTTCCCCAGTATCATTATCTTCTCCAAGCTTTCCTGTCTTCTCATGATGTGGCCAAAGTACTTCATCTTTGCCTCTTCCCTCCAGTAAGCAGTCAGGCATTATTTCCTGGAGTATGAACTGGTTGGCTCTTCTCGTGGTCCAAGACACTCTCAGAATTTTCCTCCAACACCACAGTTCAAAAGCGTTCTTCTTCCTTCGTTCAGCCTTCCTTATGGTTCAGCTCCATAGGTTACTATGGGGAATACCACTGCTTTAAGGGTCAGTAAGCCACCACTGCTGATACCTTTTTCTTTGCCTAATCAGATTTCATTTTCATGCCCTAGATATTGATGAGTGTGCCACTGGCAAAGCTATTTGCTCTTTCAATCGCAAATGCGTCAACACATTTGGAAGTTATTACTGCAGGTGTCAGGTTGGATATGAACTCAAATATGTGAATGGTCGATACAACTGTGTAGGTAAGATCTAAAGTCTGGTTTTGCTTACCTGTGTGCATGTGTCTGTGTTTGCTTTCCATAATCTCAAACATGTATTTGTTAGTTGTTACTAGAGTGCAATCATCCCTTCGTTTCCAAATTTGGATCCTGGAAGAGTTACAAAAAAATCTCCGTTTTCCCACTGGGAGGCTAGTGTGAAAACTGGAGAGAACTGCTAGATATTCAATAGTTGTATAGCAGAGGGAATTGTATCAGATGTTGCTTGTTATCTGGTTGCATGACAAGCAACGCTTTCTGAAATTCCCTCTTTTATACAGTCATTCATGGTATAGAAGCCCTTTTCAATTCTCACTCTGCAATCCTATTTCTCATCTCTATTTTTGAGCAAAAGCTACACTTTATATATTTTTTAAAAATTGTTTCTTTTTGCATGTAGTACTACCCATCTATTCACGTGACTGGAATCTGCCATTTTATTTATCCACACCCAACAAAATATGTCTTCTCTAGGCAATTTCTAGTTCATTCAATATACCTTTATGGTATTCTTTAGCCAAGATCAATCATTTCCATAGGGTTCACTATTATCCAGGGTTTCCCGTATCAATGCAAAGTTCAGGAATGCCTAGAAAGGACATATTTTCTCAGCCATAGATAAATGATACCGGGATCATTTTGTACATTAAAGGAAAACAACTGACATTTTATTCAAAGGTTTAAATGACACTGAATATTTTAACATGATTGGCTTGTGTTCCATTTTTTGCAACAAATACAATCTCAATCCACAAACTTTTGCTATTCTGTCTTTGGCATGCATGACAAACAAGAATTAAATAGGTGCAGCTTTTTCCAACAAAAAGAAAGTGGAGTATTTGTTTGTACTTTAAAAATATTTTTAAATACTTATTTCCTTTGCTATTCCTCCCCTCCCCCAAAAATCCCTTCACCCTGTAGATATCAATGAATGCACAGCAAACATATCCATGTGTAACTTCCATGCAGAATGCCTCAACACACAAGGGTCTTTCAAGTGCAAATGCAAAGCAGGCTACAAGGGGAATGGCTTTGGGTGCTCTGGTAAGCAAACATCATTATTACCTAGCTAGCGAAGTCAAGTAACTCATGTGGGTGCTTGCTTCCTTGTGCATATAACTCCATATAAACCAGCTGCATGCTTAACAGTTTTCAAGCCTATGAAGTGATAGACAGCTAAGAACGGAATTACTTTTCTGTGCTGAACAGTTTTAACGCATAGTTTACACTCTATATATTTCCTTTTACAGGCAATCCCCAAATTAAGAACAAGATAGGTTCTGTAGGTTTGTTGTTAAGTTGAATTTGTATGTAAGTCAGAACAGGTACATTTTTAAGGTATAACTCCAGATGTATATATATACATACACACACACATGCATACATGCATGCTGTGTATAGCATAGGGACATGTTAACACTCCTGTGGTATTTATTTTGCTGTTCGTGCCCCTGTTCAGAAGATTTTACCTCACTTTTTGTCCCTGTGATAATTGGATTTTGAAAAATTTAGCTTATTGTGGAAACAAGGATTGGTGACAAAGCTTCAGTGGAGACACCTTTCCCCCATGATAACTCATTCAGGAGTGAATTTCCTTTCCGAGGGGTAGATTTCTCTCACTTCCTAGTGTCTCAGCTCCATTCTTAACTATGAGTTATTTCTAACACAGATGTTTGTAACTAGGGAACTGCCTATAGTCACCATATAGGGCTGGCCTACTCAAAGTGATGGTCCATAGGCAATATCTTATTTAATTCAAGGATAGAGAATGGGAATAAGAATGTACAGCCAGAATAGTATAGGGCCTCACAAATGAACAGTCTCAGGATTCCACAGAATATTGCTATGATAGAATCAACTTTTCTGCTAAAAATAAAAGGGGTGCATTGCTTTTCCTATAGGACTGGCAACTATTATAATGGATGACATCCCCACAGCTCATCCCATTTTTTTACACTATAAAAACTTATCTTAAAAACTTCCTACATGTACAGTGAGAGTGGGCCCTTGGTATCTGCTGGTGTTTGTTACCAGGATCTTCATGGATATCAAAATCTCTGGCCGCTCAAACCCCATTATGTACAGTGGCAGAGTAAAATAGTGTCCCTTACGTAAAGCTGTGGAGCCCCTGGTGGTGTAATGGGGTAAACCCTTGTGCCAGCAGAACTGCTGACCAAAAGGTTGGTGGTTTGAATCCGGGGAGTGGGGTGAGCTCCCATTTGTCAACTCCAGCTTTTCATGTGGGGACATGGGAGAAGCCTCCCACAAGATGGATGGAAAAACATCCGGCCATCCCCTGGGCAACGTCTTTGCAGATGGCCAATTCTCTCACACCAGAAACAACTTACAGTTTTGCAAGTTGCTCCTGACATGTGTGTGTATACACACATACACACACACTGTGGATGGTTGAATCTATATACGCAGAATCATTGTAAGTGTAGGATACAGAGGACCACCTGTGCTTTAGGAATGTCGTTTTTGCATTTTTACAGGAAGGCCCCCGGGGGCAGAAAACTGGCTCTTTGATTCTGTGCCGTTGCCAACCCTTATATTAATAGACCTGCCTCTTCTTAATCATGGCACAGCTGTCTGATTCAGCCTGACCAAATGTCTTCATTTGTCACAAATCACTAGCTTTTCTTCATTAAACGGATTATTTCAGGGAATTATTTCGAAGTTGGAGGTATTCCTTTCAACTGAAAAATAAACTATGCACCAAGCATTTCAATAACTCATGCTAAGGGTACATATTTAACACCTAAAGAGAAATTAAAATTACACATGTGAATGCTTGCCCTGTCCTGTCAACTGTCACATATCTTTCTATCATTTTAAGTCTAGACATGGTTTGCTCACTAGCCTGAGGAACAAATACTTTTACCATGTCAAACTGATTTGCTTTGCTAGATTCCAAGATTGAAATAACAGATTTTAGGTGCTGCTAGTAATCAGAATATCTAATAGTTTTTTTGGACTAAACCTCTGAAGGATTCTGGGGCTGCTAGCCTAAAAACTAACTTTTCCAGACTCTAATAGGGATAGGATTGTGAACTTGAATAGTCTCGCTGTTGACTGGATTTGGTGTGTTTTGACCTGCAAGTGTTGGAGGTATTAGATGAGAGCATACAGTCCCTTCCAAGCCAAGCATCATGTCAATGTCCCTTTCGTTTTCCAAAGTCAGAACATCTATGCTGAGAAGTAAGAATATTTCATGTCTATTGAGAGATTTCAAAGCAGTAACTGGAAGCAGATGTTCTGGTTTGCTGAGCAGTCATCCTTGGCTTGGAAACTTTTACAGACTTTACTATAATCCCTGGGGGGGGGGGGGGTTTACTTCCATTGTTGTTGAGGGGGGAAATTGTGGGAATTAGAGGCATCCTGTTCATTCCTCACTGCACCTAGAATAAAAGATTCAGTTAATCACTTCAGCTAAATTATAGCACATCTTTTATAACCACAGCCTCCAGGGGACAGGATCAGAAAGCGGCCAATTAATATGGGCTTGACATGTGAATATATCTGGCCAAAATGAACCTTGTCTGCAGGGAAAATGCCACAATTCTCCTTTATATGTGGCTTCAGCCTTGCTAAAAATGTGCTGCCAAAATATCCTACAGTGACCACAATTACAATATTGATCTCTCATACATCCAATAGTCCCTGTAGCCTTAAACTTTTAAACGGGGGCTGGATAAAATAAACTTTATTATTTTATTATCTTTTGGAACTTCTAAGGGATGATAGGTAATAATAAGGAAGCTTGGGGAATGTGTATGAAAAATGCTGAGACTTTCAAACTGTACGCTAAATCTGGCATATTGTGTGTCATTGTCTTGCCCCTCTATGTCTCCAGTTATTCATGAAAATTCAGTGAAAGAGGTTCCTAGGATCTCTGGAGCTGCCAAAGAAAAGCTCAAGAAGCTGCTTAGGTACAAGAACAATTTGAGAAAACATGTAGACATGAAGAACTCCATTCCAGAAGCTCTTGTGACTCCACCTTCTAGAACACATGTAAGACTGCTAGACTATAAAGAGAGTTCCTACACAGAGGATGAGTTTACTGAACAGGAGAAAAGCATTGAAGATGTTGGAAGAAATGGAAACATAGACAATAAAGGAGCTGATGATGAAGAAGGAGAAAGCGAACACCTTGAAAATCAGATTGGCCATGAGAAGAAACTCCGAGGAGATGTATTTTGTAAGTCTGAACTTTTAATTCTATTCACAAGTGGCTAGGAGCTATAAAAGTGTTGCTTTATTAGAGAGGAGGAGGAATGTTAATGGAAAAGCATTTCGGATCTTGTGTATCTACATATTTTGCATCCATGGATTCAATCATCCATGGCTTGAAAATAGTCAAAACAAAAATTCCCAAAAGCAAGCATCAATTTTACCATGTTATGTAAGGAACACAATTTTACTGCCCTATTTCTGTGACTGGGCCTAAAAAGACAAGTGAAATGTGCCATAAAAGTCCTCATTTATTATGTGATGGAATTGGGGGGGGGGGGGGTTCCATATAAAATAGGTCATTGCCTAGATGAATAAGGATCACAAGATATATTGGAGTACCTGCACATCAGGTGCAAAATGGCCTACGTGTCTCAGTATCTTTTGCTAAATAACCCAAGAAAGATACTGCATAGTTTCTTAAATGCAATGTTAAAGGAATGTATTAAGTACCTACATCTGCTGATAGTAGAAAACTGGATCAGGACATCAGAGGGAAAGATCATCCCCTGAGGTTCCCATATACAGAACATCTCAGGATGGGATGAGACAACTGGTCAAAAGTCCATCTTATCTCCCAGTGCGACCACTGGGAGACCATGCACAACTATCCCCGCAATTCGTTATAGCAGGATGAGGATAGGATAAGCACTAAATCTGCGAGATAAGCCCATGCAGGAACATTTGCAGTGCTACCTACTTCTTTAAAATGTGGTGTTACTATTTTGTTTATGTACTTGAACCTTGGTTGGCATAGAATCAGCCCTACATAAATTGAAACTAGCAGGAGCATTAATCTAATACATCTGAATATCCCATGCAGAAATCTTTATTTATCAATACTTTGTCATATTCTGTTGAAAGGTTTAACTTATATTTATTTTCCTGCTCAAATGCCAGAGTATTACAAAGTTCTTCCAGATGTTACCCTAATGATTTATTTTGGGCTGTTTCTTGTCCCAGCCTCCTTGGCCTCTCAGATGCTGCGCCAAAATGGCCTCCTTTTTAGCTGATGCCAAGAACCTATAGAAAACAGGCTGAAGGAAGCACTCAAAACAGAAAACAAATTGCCACAAATGATGATTTATAATGACTGCAAGGTTCAGTGACACAATTCATCAGAGTTTTGCTGTGTCAGTAAGGCTCATTTCTGACTTCCGCATAGATGCATCTGGATGCACGTACCAGCAGATGACAATGCTGCTAACAGTAAAAATTGACGGACTCCAATCTCAGGAAAACGACTTTAGACACAACTTCTGAAAACACCTCTGCTTCAATGTACTTTTCTTTCACTTTGATCTCAGATACTGTATCACAAACTGTGTTGAGAATTTTACTGTGTTTTGAAAGCAGATCATGAGACATTGCAGAAGCCGGAGGGCAGCACTGCTGTTTAACAAGTTCAAACTAACATTGCCATACAACTAGCTCTGTAGTTCTTTGGATTATGGCCATGATGTGTAGAAAATGTTTTGTTTATTGCAAGACTCTAAATCAGGGCTCGAGACTGTAGGGCCTCCCAGATGCTTCTGGGATGCAATTCCCAACCTTCTTCACCATTGACTATACTGGCTACCACCGCTGGGAGTTCCAGTCCAACAATATAAATATTTTGTGGCTCCAACTGGGTTCACGCAACCTAATTATGTTGTAGACAAACATAACGTGCACACAAAGCCAGTGATGGCATGCTCTCTCCTTGTCCTTCCTCTCCCCAAGTGCTTCAATTTCTTAACAAACATCTCTTTTACCAGAAGATTTAAATGAAACAAACAATTGTTTGCTCGAGCCATAGCTAACCTGCAAGCCGTGATCATGAACAAGTGTTGTCTTCCGCTTGTATCTTTGTGTTTTTCCATCATTTTTTCCCTAGCAAGGTACTTATATCAAGGTTACCTGATGGATCAGCTGAGATAGCAAATCCAGATTGGATTTTACTGCTGCCCCTCCTGAAGTTGTTCTAAGTTAAATTATAGCTGAGCAGATATCAAACTAGGTTCCCAATTGACTAGGACATCTGTTAGAGTACTCGCAGTAACATCTGGAGGAGATATTCTGTGCCATCCATGATAGATCCACAGGCTACTCATGCATTCAGTACAGTGTAGACAGCTATATGTATTATTACTTATTTTTAAAATACAGCTTGAGCAACACTTATCCAAAAATATGAAATACTCCAAAATCTGAAATTGTCTACATGGGTGGCTGAAATGCTTTTTGATTGTTCAGTGCACACTAGCTTTGTTCAGTGCACAAAATTATGGGGAAAAAGTGTATATTATCTCAAGTCTGCGTGTATAAGACATAGGTAAAGGTAATCCCCTGACATTAAGTCCAGTCATGTCTGACTCTGGGGTGTGGTGCTCATCTCCATTTCTAAGCCGAAGAGCCAGCGTTGTCCGTAGACACCTCCAAGGTCATGTGGCCGGCATGACTGCATGGAGCGCCGTTACCTTCCCGCTGGATCGGTACCTATTGATCTACTCACATTTGCATGTTTTCGAACTGCTAGGTTGGCAGAAGCTAGGGCTGACAGTGGAAGCTCATGCCGCTCCCCGGAATCGAACCTGTGACCTTTCGATCAACAAGCTCAGCAGCTCAGTGCTTTAACGCACTGTGCCACCGGGGGCTCATATATAAGACATATATGGAAGTAAATTTAATGCTGAGATTTGGGTCTAATCACCAAGATATCTAATTTTTTACTTGCATATGCGAATGCATATTCCAAAAGCAAACAACCGAAAACAATTCTGGTCCCAAGCATTTCAGATAAGGGATTCTAAACCTGTAGTTCTTAGTTAAATACAAACATTGACGTTTAGTTTTGTCATTACCTATGCCCATTTTCTCTTACACATCTGTCATTTCCCAAGAAACCTCCTTTATACTTTTGTACCATTTCTCTCTCTACTTCACCAGTGAAAATGGCATTTATTTATTTATTTATTTACTTACTTACAGTATTTCTATACTGCTTTTCTCACCCCTAGGGGCACTCATTTCTACTTATACCATGTTGTTTGAGTGACAGTGCTGGTTAGTTAGACTTCCATTTGGAATTATCCCTGGACTTTTTTTAAAGAGCGACTTCATCTCTAGTTTTATTACTTCCACTCAGGACCAGACATGTCAGTTTGGAAATGAAGACAAGACTAAATTTAGATAGGAAATGCAGCCAATAGATTTTTTCCCCATCATGCTATATTGTTTTCCCATCATATCAGCAATTCAGTAAGTCAGCAATTCAGTATTCCACTGCTGCTGCATTCAGTTTCATCAATTTCTCTCCAGCTGTCCTCCCCATAACTCTCTTCAGTATCTCATGCTATATATTCCATTTGTAGTTGTAGTTCATTTCTTGTCAGTGGCTGCAGACATATGGCATAAACTCTTTAAAAAAATAATAACATATGCACATCTCTTTTGTGTTGCTGTATCTGATTCAAGAAGCAGTTGTTTAAGTGATTTAAACCTCTGTGTTAGTGATTTGAATCTTGCAGAGGGCCTAGTGGAGACAGACTCTTGGCAATACATTATGTATAGTATTTCCTGGATCTTCTTCCTTATGTTCCATTAAACATTTTTGACTGTGTTGAGGGTCTCTTTTGGCTTTGTACATGTCTATGACTTTTCACTGTGGCAGGAAGGCTAAAGCAGGGGATTATGAAACTTGGGGATGGTTTAAAGCAACATCTGTGAGAAGTTTCACATCTGATCTCCAAAGAACCCTGACCATTACATCCTTAAGTATCAAATTACCTCTATGAACCACATCACATTTCATATGAGTATAGTTTGATGCTGAATCTTTACCATATATTAGCTTATTATATGGAGCCATCTGTTTGGCACATACAGGTATGTGATGGTTTATTTATTTATCATGAACGCCCTTCCCACAGACATTAGATTAGCACCATCTCTAATGGCATTTCGCAAAAAAGTAAAGACCTGGTTGTTTGTGCGTTCGAATAATTAGTGCAATGACTGGCAATGACATAGGAATGGAACAATGGATGACGAATCTGGATCATGTTTTTTAGTGAAGAGACGCTATTGAATTGTTATTATAGTAATTGTATACTAACTGTGTATTAGATTGTTTATTAACTGTTTTATATTGGTGTATTAAACTTTGCTGTGTCTTGAGTCCTGTAAACCGCTGTGAGTCGCCTCTGGGCTGAGAACAGCGGTATAGAAGTAAAGTAAATAAATAAATAATAAATCATGCCACTATCAACCAGACAATCGTATTACATTTTTAACAAATTTTTAACAAACAGACAAAACAGAGTTTGCAAGCTTGGTAGTTGATTAAATGTCCTTTGACCAGTATCTGGCCACTTGGAGTGCCTCTGGTGTTGCTGCAAGGAGGTCCTCCATTGTGCATGTGGCGGGGCCCAGGTTGCATTCCAGCAGGTGGTCTATGGTTTGGTCTTCTCACATTTGCATGTTTTCGAACTGCTAGGTTGGCAGAAGCTGGAGCTAACAGCAGGAGCTCACGCCGCTCCCCAATCAGCAAGTTCAGTAGCTCAGTGCTTTTACCCACTGTGCCACTGGGGACTCCTGGAAGCGTATAGCAAAACTCAAATAAGACTTCAGTTGGCCCTCCTGCTGATACAATATGAAAAGCTCCTTCTGCCAAGTGTTGCTTTACAAGAGCATAATAGGATACTCCCAAACATTACTACACAATCATCTGATTACTACAGAAAATAATGGTGCTATAGTTGCATATAGAGTCTCTTCAAGTTTGGTTTATATCCACATGTATGGCATCAACATCGCCATGTTGGACGAATATTTTTTAACATTGTCATGTATGGCAAATTAGTCATTGTTCTCCAAAACCAGTAAGTACGTGTGTTATCATAATTTTTTACATTGTGAAATCTTAACAATGACACTTTTTTTTGCAGAAACTTGGCAAGTTCATTTACCTTGGGTTTTTTTGTGGGATGATAAACTAATGTTGTTGTTTTTGTTGTTTTAGCTAAAGAAGCAGCTGCTTTTGGTCCTCTCCCAGCACAAAGAAAAATCTCAGTCCAGAAAGCAGAGCTGGAAGGTGAACAAATTTTCTATTATGACGATAGCTTTTCATCTATTTTTTTGGCCATGGGTGATAGCCTGTGATTATAATGATGATCTAGTTGTTAAATGTTTTTATGGCAATTCCACTGAGCTGAACTTTGAGAGATTTGTCTCTTTCATTATTGGTAACTAGACTACTAAACTAGTTAATAGTAGCAGAGCTGTTAGTCCATTCCTTTTCATAACTAACTAACTAATTTACTAGCAAACATTTATTTTTGGTAATTGTGACTTAATGAAGAATAACTGTTTTCCTTTTGTGGGATAATATTTTAGTAATTTTATAGTTTCAAGGTCTTAAATGGTAGAAGAGGCATATCACATGGTTTTAATGCTGGCTCATGTAGTGCCTCGTGTCACTGTATTGTACTTTGTTGTGTGTGATGAAAGAAGAACAGGATAGATGGGAGTAGAATGTGCTTTGCACCACAGGCTAGTATATTGTATCATTCAACTTGTTGAAAAGTAATTGAAAAAGTAATTATTACTTACTTTGAAATGGGTAAATACTTATAAAACTGTTAACCATAGTAATTACGTGCTCAAATGTGGCACCATCAGTGTAACTAATAACCTTTTAAAAGTAATCTTCCATGCTCTGCATTACAACCTGCAACAACCTGCTTTGGAACATCAATTACATTTGGAGCTGGGTTGGACAATCTAAAGAATCTTCCAGCCAATGTTTTTAGTTGAAAAGCATGTAATTCTAACTTATGGAATACATCATTTAGTGTTTTCTTTCGTATGTTCCTAGATATCATTTCAGTGGACTGCAGCTTTGGGCGAGGGTCTTGTGTCTGGCAGCAAGATGCAAATGATGACTTTGACTGGAGTCCTGCAAATCATGAGAATGGTAATCTGAGCATGGTCTGATGCCCTATACAAGACAGGGAAGAATTGGGACAAGAGAGAAAGGGTCCTTTCTGCTTCCAAGTTTGGGAATTGCAGACCTTTCTAAGCTATTTCAGTCCTGAGATGCTGTGAGTTTCCTGGACTGTATGGCCAGGTTCCAGAAGCATTCTCTCCTGACATTTTTCCCATATCTATGGCAGGGATCCCCAGAGGTTGAGAGGTCTGTTGGAAACTAGACAAGTGAGGTTTATATATCTGTGGAATGTCCAGGGTGGGAGAAAGAACTCTTGTCTGCTTGAGGCATGTGAGAATGTTGCAATGGCCATACAGCCCAGGAAACTCACAGCAACTCAGTGATTCAGATCATGAAAGCCTACGACAACACATATTTCAGTCCTTTTCACCACATTTATTCTTCCTTCAAAGGGGCTCCTAACTTTCAGGAGCATGTTATTGAGGGACACAAAGGATTGTGGTATGAAGGAGAATGATCTATCACACTTCACTGTTGTAACACTATTATTCCACTTTAATTGACAAAACAACATTCTATGAAATTCTGGGATTTGCAGTTTAAGAAGGGGCATTTAAGATTCTAAGCCAGAGATTCTAGTAGCCTGACTAATCTACAAGACTTTGAATTCCATGGGATAGCTGTTAAAGTGAGATAAGAACACTGAAGTAGTAGGTAAAGGTTTTCTCCTGACATTAAGTCCATTTGTGTCTGACTCTGAGCGTTAGTGCTCATCTCAATTTTTAAGCCGAAGAGCCAGCATTGTCCGTAGACACCTCCAAGGTCATGTGGCTGGCATAACTGCATGGAGCGCCGTTATCTTCTTGCTGGAACGCTACCTATTGATCTACTCACATTTGCATGTTTTCAAACTGCTAGGTTGGCAGAAGCTGGGGCTGATAGCGGGAGCTCACGTCACTCCCCGGATTTGAACCTGCGACCTTTTAGTCAACAAGTTCAGCAGCTCAGTGTTTTAACCCACTGCGTCACCGGCACCTCCTACACTAAAGTAGTGTAGTGTGATAATGCTTTACGTTGATCTTGTGCCAACTTTGGAAAAAGTGGCCATGTAGTACAAACCAGTAATTTTCCCAAGGCTCCAAGTATATGGATGTGCATGTATCATCCTTGGTATTATCTTTTGCATTTCTTTTATGTTTTGGTACTTATATTTTATCTTGCAAATTTTTGTTTCTTAAATTATTGGTAGCATACTATTTCAGGGTTTTGAATTGATTTTGCCTTAAAATATGTTTTGGCATAAATAAAATATTTATAATTTAGTGTCTCACAGAACTCTGATCAGTACATTTAAGAATAAATAATTAAGGCCTTCTTAGATTGTCTCACCACATATGTCTCATCACTTGGATCTGTTGGAATCCCTCCCCCTTGTTATCAAGTTCAAATACAAAGTAATCAGCTAGGACTAAGTATATATAAAAACAGAAGGGAATTTTAACCAACCCCAGACTAATATATGATGCTTTGGTGGACCAGAAATGTTACTTTCCTTTTTATGTGCCATGCAATGCAATGTTATTCAAAGTGTTGGTGCAATGCCAGTCCCCAAGACATTGGCTGTTGGTCCCTGGCAAGACTCCGGGGGGGGGGGGGGGGGGGGGGATGGGACAAATGGACACATATATCTTACCAATTTCTGACTCATTGCCCTTTCTCACCAAAAGCTGGTCCTCTGTGCCAGCTATCTGATATCTTGTACTCAAAAATTAAGTCACTGCTTCTCAGTCCAGCCGAAATTGTAGTCTATTAAACTGTAGAAGATGTATATTAAGGAAAAGGAGGGAGCACAGGAGTACAGTTTGTGTTTTCAGGCCACAATCCATGGCTTACTGCCTGTGAAGCAGGGGCAGCTCAACCATTACGCAAAGTAAGCATTCGCAGTATAGTTGATTTTTCCCAGGGGCGCTCTTGAGGCGCTCTTGGGGGAAAATAGACCTTGACATAGATGAGTTGTAGTTACTGGGATGTATAGTTCGCCTAAAATTAAAGAGCATTCTGAACTCCATCAATGATGGAATTGAAGCAAATATGGCACACAGAACTTCCATGACAAACAGAAAATATATATCAATGATTGGTTGGGGGGGGGGCAAAATACTGTTTGCTTACCATTGAAAATTACCTAGGGCCGCCTCTGCTGTGAAGCAAACCTTATGGCAAGTAACCCCCACATTCAGGACAAAAAAAATTAACATCCTACTTTGTGCTTTCCAAATTTCCATGTATTTCTTTCAGGTGATGGCTATTACATGGCAGTTCCAGTCTTCATGGGGCACAAGAAGGATGTTGGCCGTTTGAAACTTCTTCTCACTGACCTTGCGCCACAGAGTGTGTATTGTTTAATTTTTAGTTACCGGCTTGCAGGAGAAAGAGTAGGGAAACTACGAGTAATCCTCAGTGACATCAGTAGTGGCCCATCCTGGGAACAGAGCATGGGGAGTGGAGAGTGGTGGAAAACTGGACAAATTGAAATGCCTACAGGAGCAGAAACAACTATGAATGTAAGTTTAAATCTAAAAGCCAAACTTAAAAGTAGATGAATTGTATTCTGCTTTCTTTTAGTGGCGAGTAGTCTTGCTGGCTAGCTTCAGGTTAGGAGATAATACAACACTGTAAACAGGAGAATTCTGTTGCTTTCAAGTCCACTTTGTGGACTAAATGGAGTTATGAACTGGAATTCTCTGTCTCAGAGGCATGGTATAACTGCTTTTTCTGAGCCTGGTGCAAGGATGTATCTTGTACCTCCTTCTGCAGTGATTTTCCCAGATTGTGCAACAGTTACTATATAGCAACAGGTACAGCTCCACATCCACAATCAAAAAGGGCATTGATTAAGTGGTGAGTTCAGTTGCAACGGAATGATTCTAGAACCCAATAGGATAAATTGCAGTGTACACCTGCATGAACAAAACATTAATTATCATTAATATTTCCTTTATAAAGTGAATTGTTTATGTTATGAAGTTTGAAGAACTACTTGGGTTTTGTGAGCATCACTGGAAGGGCAAAATCTCACTCAATTTTTGGGAAGAGGAGGCACACAAATGAAGGGGAGGCGATTTGGGTGCAAAGCAGCATAACTGTTTCTGAAACTAGCCATGCAATCATTTCATGTAACACTACATATATAACACTATACACTCAACAGAAGTGGCCGAGTTCTCTTATGAGCAATACTGGGAATGTTGCTATGCCATAATGATGTGTAGGAGGAAGACAATATGCAACCTTTATAGTACATAAATGAGAAAAATATAAAATGTGCATTGACATAGCAGAAGAATATGAGACAGCAGGATATTAAGTCAATGTATGTGCTTTAAAATGGTAATAATAATGTATAGAACACATAATATTCCTAATGAGCTTTTTCTTCACAACTCTTCACAACTGGCACTTCTTCATTAATATTTTCCTCATTTTATCAGATTACCTTTGAGGCAGAACGTGGGAAAGGCACAACTGGAGAAATCGGAATGGATACCGTAATACTATTTTCTGGCTTGTGTCCTGAAGACCACCTTGCATTAGATATTTGAATTTATGGATTTCATTGCTATTATATTATTTGTTGTATTAATAAATATTTTGTATTGTTGTTATCTAGATGAAATACCAATCTAGAAACAATATCTTGAACCTCAAATCAGTCAGATAACACATTTGTATATATAGTATGCTAAACTTTGTTTTGTATGTTGCTTTATTTTGTTATAGCAGGGTCTTACAGAATGTGAAAATATTTCTCTAGCTCTTCTCGCAATAAATGTGCTTTATTGTATACAACATTCCCTTTGAAGAAAAAATCTATTTTTTAATTCTATCTCATTCACTTACAACAGTGGTTCCCAACCTTTTTTTGACCAGGGACCACTTTGACCCGGGATCACTCTCCAACATTAGTACCAAAAGGGTTACAAATCAGTTTGTGGTTAACTTTAGATTTGGTTTGGTTATTTGGGGTGCGATTCATAAAATTTCATTGGATACCACATCTGCTCTAGTTTCTGATACAGAACATATGTCATCCAGTATTTGCCATGTGCTTGCCCACAGAAAACCATTTTTAATAATCTGGAGCTGATGTGGTCTATCTAAGGGGGGTGGGGCTGGTCAGCGACAGGGAAGGAGTGGCAGGCTGCGCAAAAGGATTGGAAATAAATTCAATAAAATCAATCAATCAATCAATCAATCAAGAGAAAGGAGCCTCGCAGACCAGATTTTTGTCATCACTGCCCACTGGATGGTCCGTGGCCCACAGGTTAATAACCACTGACCTACAAGAATATGAAGCAATATCTTTGAAAGAATGTTTTATTTCAAGCAACATATAGGGTACAGTGGAGTAAATGTAATTGTATAGAGCCATGGTAAGGAACTGCAAATGGGCTGGGTGTTCAATCCACATATTCTACCCATACATAGTTTTCCCCCCATATCACCAATTCATGCCCATGTTTTTGTTGAGATTCCTCTCATCATTGCAATAAATTTTCATACTATGTTTGCCAGAGGTACTTTTTACATAATAGCATTCTCTCACATTGCTGGATCAGGCTGTTTCTCTGTCTTGTTGTAATAAGAGAAATGAAGAACATAATCCAAAGGGGAATCAGCATATTTAAGACCCTGAAAATCAATGGACGTAAATGTATAACTTATATGTGCCTATATGCAAGAAAACATATGTTTGGTTCCATCTCTCTTGTGTGCATTTTTGCTTAAGTTATTCATATTTCACTATGGGGAGAAAGTGTATTCTGCGTGTCAAAATATGAAAAATGTGAATTGCCTTTTGTCCTCCCATTATTCTTTCTTCTAATCTGTAGACACAAAATGTTCTTACAAAGAAGCACTGTAATTAATCCTCCTCACAAGCATCCATAGTTAACAGAATACATGAAACAGATATTTCTGTGCTGAATGATGTGTCCAAGTTCTATTGTTTTTGGGACTTATTCAAGTTTTAAAAATAAATAACAAGATGTATCTTCAAATGTTTAATGTTAAATCTGATGATAGATATGTACTAAAAATTAGAAAAAAACATTTCCAAAAGCAGTGTGATCTGTATAAGTTACGAATTGTAAACTTGAAAGAAGTTATTTTGAAAACACATACTATTTGTGCTCTGTGTGCATTGCATACTGTTTTTCATTAGAATTAAGCTTGTATTGTAACTGAAGAGACAAGAAAAAGTTACAAAAATGTTGGTGTTGAACAAGTATTTTCTTGTGCTAGTGAAATGGGGAATATAAAATTAGAACACATAATCTTAATTTGCTGGGTTGTTGTAGGTTTTTCAGGCTATATGGCCATGTTCTAGAAGCATTCTCTCCTGACGTTTCACCTGCATCTATGGCAAGCATCCTCAGAGCATCTTTAAGCCTATCTTTAATCCTCTTTTGCTATCCACCGACATTCTGTTTTTTGTTCTTGAGTTGAGAGTAAAGCAACTGCTTTGGGAGATGGTGATCAGGCATTCGGACAATGTGGCCAGATCAGTGAAGTTGCTGGCGGAGTATCATCACTTCAATATTGGTCGTCTTTGCTTCTTCCAGAACGCTGATGTTAGTCTGCCTGTCTTCCCTAGAGACTTGTAAAACTACACCTATGAGATACTAGGATTGTCTAGTCGAGTACTACTCAAAAGTGGTGGTCGACAATGACCACCAGGGTCCGGTACTGCACACAGAAAAAAAGAATTGCCAATTTCTCACATCACAGATTGGCAATTTTAAGAAGTACTGATCTGTTTTAGTTACATGTGGAAATCTGCCGAGGAATCTTAACACAATCACATTCCATTTCAAAATGAAAAGATTTTTGTAAAGAAAGGTGAATGGAGAAATCAAAATAATAAGTTCTCTCCAAATACTTTAGGACTTACTTTAAACCAAATTAATATAAACTCAGCTAGATTCCATGACACAAGTCAGGAAAGGAACAACAAATCATCAAGTTGGAGGTTTTTCCTTTACATCTAGCTTCACTTTTTTTTCAGTACAGCGAGTCAAGTTAAATTTTCCTCTCTACTAAAAAGTCAGTCCCAAATGGCATTCCTTACAGAGCACAGATAGGCCTAATGCCTTCTGGCTGAGTGGGAGCCAGTGGAAGCATACATAGTAGTGTGGAATAGCTGTGATCTAAATCTGATCAAAGTACATTAATACGGGATATAATGTTTAATACACCCAATGGTGCCCTCTTCTGGTTTGTTAAGGTTTAATGCAGAAGCACGAGGAACTTTCAACTTGTTTTGGGCCCCTTCCACTCAGCCATATAACCCGGAATATCAAGGGAGATAATCCACAATATCTGCATTGAACTGGATTATCTAAGTCCACGCTGCCACATAATCCAGTTCAATGTGGAAGCTGAGCATTGGTGGAGGTTTCTTTCTTTTTTGCAGCATCCTTACAGATACCACAGCAGGGTACAGATATAGTTAGAATAATAAAATCTAATTGACACTGAATAAACTGGGAACATAAAAATGAAAAACGAGCACCCAACCCAATAGCTTAGAGACGAGAGGCGAAGAAGGCACACAAGAGAAATGTTTAAATATTTGAAAGGACATCATATTGTTAGCTGCTGCTTTGGAGACTAGGACACAATGGAGCGGTGGATTCAAATTGCAGGAAAAGAGGTTCCACCTAAACATTAGGAAGAACTTTCTGACGGTCAGAGGAGCTTTTTTGGCAGTGGATGTATGGCACCTGGGATTTAATGGCAGTCCCCCATCCAAGGACTAACCAGGACTGACCCTGCTTAGCTTCCAAGGATACGATTTCATTGTAGAATTGGCTCAATCCTATGGAATCGTGGCTGTTGTAATTTTAAAAGGTTTTTAGCCTTCTCTGCCAAAGAGTGCTTTAGCCTTGTCAAACTACAGCTCCCAAGATTTCCCGAGCATTAAGCCATAGCGGTTAAAGTGGTTTCAGGCCACATTGTTTGTACACTGTAGATAAGTGTTTATCAGAAGAGGTCATGAGGGGGTGTCAGAGGGGTCGCCAAAGACCATCAGAAAACAGTATTTTCTGTTGGTCATGGGGGCTCTGTGTGGGAAGTTTGGACCAATTGGTGGGGTTCAGAATGCTCTCTGATTGTAGGTGAACTATAAATCTCAGCAACAACAACTCCTAGATGTCAAGGTCTATTTTCCCCAAACTACCAGTGTTCACATTTGGGTATGTTGAGCATGTGTGCCAAGTTTGGTCCAGATCTATCATTGTTTGAGTTCACAGTGCTCTCTGGATGTAGGCGAGTTACAACTCCCAAACTCAAGGATAAAGGCCACCAAACCCTTCCAGTATTTTCTGTGGGTTCTGTGTGCCAAGTTTGGTTCAATTCCATCATTGGTAGAGTTCAGAATGCTTGTTGATTGTAGGTGAACTATAAATCTCAGCAACTACAATTCCCAAATGTCAAGGTCTATTTTCCCCATACTCTACTGGTGTTCACATTTGGGTATGTTGAGTATTTGTGCCAAGTTTGGTCCAGATCCATCGTTGTTTGAGTCCACAGTGCTCTCTCTGGATGTAGGAGAACTACAACTCCCAAACTGAAGGTCAAAGCCCACCCAGCTCTCCCTGCTCTCGCTCCCACCAGCGTCACAAATATGCCTGGTGGGGATGAGAGACAGGACCTTCTTGGCTGTAGCTCTCCACCTGTGGAACTTGCTTCCCAGCATTTTCTGTGGGTCATGGGAGTTCTGTGTGCCAAGTTTGGTTCGACTCCAGCGTTGGTGGAGTTTGATTGTAGGTGAACTATAACTCCCAGCAACTACAAATCCCAAATGACAAAAATCAATCCTCCCCCAATCCCAAATTTGGGCATATCGGGTATTTGGGCCAAATTTGGTCCAGTGAGTGAAATTACACGCAGCATATCAGATATTTACATTACAGTTCACAAGTTTGTAAAATGACAGTTATGAAGTAGCAACAAAATTAATTTTATGGTTGGGGGTCACAACATGAGGAACTGCATTAAGGAGTGGCGGCATTAGGATGGTTGAGAAACACTGATGTAGATAAACTCACACCAAGGTTTCAAGGGCTTTTTATTTCCAAGTCAAAAGTATAGCACTTCTAACAGATATCAGTACAATTGCTCTGACGCAATTGATAGCCCTCAGCAACAGCGGCTGCGCAAAGACACAGCCCACGCCGCGCATGCTCAGATTGCCCAACGAACTGCAAAGGTTCTTTCCAACTCAGGCATGCGTGGTAGGAGCCCGAGCAGGAGAGGGGCGGGGCCACGGAGGGTGAGCTGAAAGGCCTCCTTAGGAAGGATAAGGTGAGCAGATGAGGAGGGATTTAATCATACCTTTCGGGGAAAAGTGACTTTGGGATCATATTTCGAATAATTATACATATCCTTGTTTATAAGAGATGAGTAAAATTCTCGTGTTCCCATCTGTTGTGGCCTCTTCCAGTTTTGTGATTCTATATGTGGAGTAGCCTTATTGACCATGAAACAAAATCCCAGATCCACTTTTATTAGGTCAGCCAGAAAGTGCAAAAATCATGATGTGCTAACTTTTGAACCACTCTGGCTCAACAATAGATGGATTAATAAGATTATGTAAAGACAGATGTTAGAGTTACAGGCCTACATTTTGCTTGTTTCGAGATGTTACAGAAAAAGCAAGTTGTGCAGACAAATCCAGGCCCTGGGCCTCCCCTCCAAAAACAAAGCAACAAAAGTAATAAAGCAAGGTATTAAAACTACTATCCTCCAGCTGTTAATAGTGCCTTTGGGGACTCAGTAGTGCTTCCTATTATGTCCTCCCTTGAGACCCTATGTTTGGTACCAGCAGTCTTAGTTTGGCTCCATATGACAAACAGCCTTTCATATGGTTTGGATCTCAAGAAACTCTGTCATATTGAAGTATTGAAGGATAATTAAGGTTTTCCACAGGTAACCTGTTATTATTTTGGTAGATGTGATTATGCTAACTCTGGCCCAGCTTACTTGTCTGAATGCATCTTCTGCTACGTCCCGCCTTGCAGTTTAAGATCATCTGGGGAGACCCTGCTCTCGCTCCCGCCAGCGTCACAAATATGTCTGGTGGGGATGAGAGACAGGACCTTCTTGGCTGTAGCTCTCCACCTGTGGAACTCGCTTCCCAACGAGGTAAGATCAGTTTCATCCCTCCTGTCTTTTAGGAAGAAATTGAAGTCGTGGTTCTGGGACCAGGCTTTTGGACAGCAGGCATAAATAGCGCTTGGATATGGAATTTGACTGGAATGGTTATACGGCAGTTAATACTGTTTTTATTGTTTTAATTAATGTTCTATTATTGTTTAATTGTTGTTATATTGCTTTGTTATATTTAATGGCATCAAATTGTGCGAAATGTAAACTGTCCTGAGTCCCCCTTCGGGGGTTGAGAAGGACGGGGTAGAAATATTGGAAATAAATAAAATAAATAAATAATCCAGTGTTTCTCAACCTTCCTAATGCTGCAACCCCTTAATACAGTTCCTCATGTTGTGACCCCCTAACCATAAAATTATTTTTGATGCTACTTCATAACTGTAGTTTTGCTACTGTTATGAATCGTAATGTAAATATCTGATATCCAGATGTATTTTCATTTACTGGGCCACACTGGGCACACAAACCCCATACATCCAAATTTGAATACTGGTGGGGGTTTTTTTTTTTGGGGGGGGGGAGTAGATTGATTTTGTCATTTGAGAGTTGTAGTTGCTGGGATTTATAGTTCATCCATTTCTTTTTACTTTGAACTACACTGTAATAAATTATCCGATTTACGTAGTCATTCTACATAGGGCTGCAACGTTACTCATTTTGTTTTATGCATTTAAAATAATTATTTCCTACTAGGACAAGGCCCCCTGGTGGCATAGCAGGTTAAACCCCTGAGCTACTGAACTTGTTGACCAAAAGTTCAGCAATTCGAATCTGGGGAGCAGGGTGAGCTCCTGCTGTTAGGCCCACCTTCTACCAACCTAGCAGTTCGAAAACATGCAAATGTGAGTAGATCAATATCTGCTTCTGCGGGAAGGTAACGGTGCTCCATGCAGTCATGCTGGCCACATGACCTTGCCTACGGACAACACAGGTTCATCGGCTTAGAAATAGAAATGAGCACCACCCCCCAGAGTCAGACATGACTGAACTTAATATCAAGGGAAACCTTTACCTTTATCTTTTCTCCTAGGACATGACAATAAGCATCAAGAAAACATATGACATTCCAACAATATGTTGGTTGAATGTTGGATGAGACATTTATTGAAAATCCATCTATTCATCCAGAAAAATGAATTTGATTACATTTGTTGTGTCTGTATTAATATAGAGATGTATGTATAGTGCCTTCAGAGAAACATAATTCTTTCCATTTCTTTCAGGATTTGAAATGTCTAATACAAAAGTCCTCACATCTAGAGCTGACTGTATAGAGAAGCTACTGTCAGAAAGAAAATACCAAGATATTGGGATTCATCTTACATATCTTGAAACGATTGATATCACTATAGATGACTTGCAAGAGACTGATGTGGCCAAAGCTGTGTTCAGAGTCTTCAAGAATTGTCCCTCCGTGGTCCTGAAAAAGAAGGCAAAGCACTTGCTCTCAAAGTGGAAAGCAGTTTATAAAAAGCATTGCAGTCCATCAGTACAACTTCATTTGGGGTTATCTGAAAATGCAAATGAGGATTCAGATCATCTTCAAGTAGTCTCTGAAGATATAAACCCTTTGGGAAAATTGAACCAGCAGGAAAAATTGTGTCCTGCCAGTCCCAGTCTGGCATCAGAAAGCCCTTCAAGTAATGCTGGAAGTTGTGTGCAGAAAGATAATACAACGGAACCAGATCTGGGAAACGCCAATTCTATTAGTGAAACAGGCCAACAGTATAGTCCCATTGTGGCTGTGAGGGCGAAATGCACACAACTTCTTTATGAAGCATTGACTGATTCCTCAACAAGTAATGAAGAAATTGCAAAGCACCACAAAACAGCTGAAGAAATTGAACAACACATTTTTGCACTTCATGCTAACAATGATAAAAAGTACAAAAATTGCATCCGGAGCAAAGTTTCCAACTTGAAAAATCCAAAAAATTCTCACTTAAAACATAGCCTGCATATTGGAGTTCTCACTCCTCAGACATTTGCTAGTATGTCTGCAGTGGAAATGGCACATGATGAACTAAAGCAGCTTCGGGCTTCGTATACAAAATCAGCTGTTCAGGAACACCAGCTTCCCCAGAAGATCAATGGTACACTTACAAATAAAATAAAATGTCGGCGCTGTGAAAAATTTAATTGCACTGTGACTGTGATAGCCAGGGGAGCTCTTTTCCTTCCTGGTTGGGTACGAAGCACAGATCCAGATGAGCAAATGATGACTTACGCAATATGTAATGAATGTGGGGAGCAGTGGTACCACAGCAGGTGGAATTGTTTATGATTGTATATCTTGTAATGATGATGTCTTCAGAGAATAATATATGGAATTATTAAAAGGCAATTAACTGAATAAGAAAATATGTTCAAGCTCTAATGTTTGTCATGAAATCCGAAAAAAATAAGATATGACAAAATAGTTACAAAACTACCGAAGGGAGTGGCCCAATGAGTCTATTATGTTTGGAACTATTAGATTTATGCAAGAATGTGACTCAGGTAGCCTTCTAGGATCTAAACAAACTCCAGGAGTTGCAATCCAACATAATCTAAAATCTAAGTCAGGGGTCCTCAAACAGGGGTCCTCAAACAGACAGCCAGTTCACGGTCTCTCAGACAGTTGTGGGGGCTGGACTATAGCTTGGAAAAAATATGAACCAATACCTATACACACTGCATTTATCTTATTTGTAGTGCAAAAATACCCACGGAAGAACAAAACAATATTTAAAATGAAGAACACCACTGTAAATCTTTTAAATTTATTTATTTATTTATTTATTTATTTAGGGCTTTTATATCCCATCCTTTCTCAGCTTCCACAGAGGGACTCAGGACGGCTAACAAAGTGGTACCCTGTGGTGCCCACATCAAAACATACATATACAACTAACAGCAATGTAATAATAACAACAATATAAAACAATATAAAACCGTATAAACAATATAAAACAATATAAAAACAGACAACAAATAGTCAGTGGTCACCGATTTAAATCATTATCCAAGGGCAGTCCATAAAATATCTATCCATAAAGTTTCATTATTATTTTGGAACAGTAGACAGTTTTTCTTTGTCCAAGTGACACTGAGTTACATTACCTTTTTATTTTTAAAACTGCTATATCCGACAATTTTTCCTGTTCTTGTATATCCATATTTTTTAGTGAAAACTTTTGTTTTCTGGTTATTGATTTTAAATTCCACTAAAGTTCCAAATCATTCAGCTTTCTCATCAAGACTTCTATTCCATTCAGTGGGTTTTCTAAAGTAATCACCAAATCATCTGGAAATGCTCACAATTTATCATTTTCCTTTTTGATCTTTATTCCAGAATTCCTTTCCTCACATCGTATGTCCTTTAAAAGTACTTCGAGGGCTAGTATAAATATTTATTTATTTATTTACCACATTTATACCCCCCCTTCTTACTCCGAAGGGGACTCAGAGTGGCTCACATATATAGGCAGAATTCGATGTCATACATACAATTGACAAAATAACATATACATTAAAACCAACTGCTAAAACATCTCAACAATTAAAATCACATAATCCAATATCATATAATCCAATATCAATAGAAGTGGTGAGAGTGGGCATCCTTGTCTAGTTCCCTTCTGAATTGCACATTAAATTTCCATTTGCAACCACTTGTGCTATCTGCGTAGATTTTATCCATTTTATGAAATTATCTCCAAAATCCATATGCTCCAATACCTAAATGGCCAATTCAGTTTATCAAAAACATTTTCTTCATCTTGTTTTTCATTATGTTTTTCCACATATTCCAAAATATCCAATTCGTTCCTTACGTTGTCTTGTAGTTGTCTTTCAGGCAAAAAAATTCCAGATTGAGCCTGATAAATTATTGAAGTATATATTTCATTCTTCCAGCCAGGATGGTTGTAAACAATGTATAGTCATTGTTCAATGAAGATATTGTTCCATAATTCTGTGGTAAGTTATACCCTGGTCTTCTTTGGTATGTCTCTCGGCAGCTGTAAGGAACTAATTTAAATGAATGTTTTCATATATCTTGAAATCAGAGCTCATATGTCCCCCCCCCCCCCAACAGACGTAAAGGGGCATTGAAAATGTTAAATTGGGAATGTATCCTTGACAAACAGGAATGTCCTCTGTTGCCAAGGCAGTGTGTCTGCCCTGGCAATGGGGATATTTACTCACTATCTTATCAGTTCAGTCTTGAGAGAAGGGGATGAATTTGTTTGTCCTCAAAAACTTTGCCCTGGTGGTCAAATCTTATTGATTATATGACTTTGTTGTTATCTTGGTCACCATACAATCCTTTACTGGTTAGGGTCAGAGAAAAGGCCAGTCAAAATGTGCCAAAAGTGCAAAAGAGCCAGGGCTTCTTTATCTTGTCCAATAGTCCTATGTTTTTCCTTAAAAAGCTGTGTGGGGAAACAGTGTGTTACTTATTTCAGGCATTGTTCGGTTTATCTTTCAAGAGGCCTGACAAATGTCTTAGGAATGGTGCTAATCCAGTGAACCCCATTGCCCAACATCAAACTCTGGCAGATATGTTTTTTGGCATCAGAAGTCTCACTGGAGACTCAAGTGTCTTCAGCAGTATGAACTGCTGGGAAGTTGGAGCTGTTAGAGATCAAATGATTAATAAATGTGTTATTTAGGCCAGTGGAGCCTAAGTTTGTTGTCCTACATCCATCATTCCTGAATATGAGAGTCACAGCCCAACCATATCTGAGAATCAACATCAATGCAGTATGGTCTGAATCTTCATGCTTGAACAATTATAATCATTATGCATCTGTTGTAGGAGAGCTTGTGCTTCTTAGCAACTCACACCAAGATATAGTAACCCAAAGCTATTTTGACATGGGTCAAAACAAAAACCTTGTGTCGAGACCATATTTTAATGGTATCCCATTCTTTCTAGTAGCTAGTACCTATGATATGTTTGACATTGTAAATACAGTCAATCTTCTGTATTCACCAGTTTCACTGCCCATAGATTGACAATACCACCGCCAGCCAAATCCCAAAAGCAAACCTTAATGTCCATTTTATTACTACACCATTATATATAATGGGACTTGAGCTTCCACTGATTTTGGTATTCACAGGGAGTCCTGGAAACTAAGCCTAACTTTTATTTCTACTTATATAAATATCTTAAAGTGAGAGAGAAACAATAACAAAAATTATATTGGGAACAGCACATTGACAGCAACAAACAATTGGCCTTCTATTTTATATTGGTTAATAGAATAAAGGGCCATTCAGTTCAACCCCATTGTGCCATGCAGGAACACAGAAAGCACTCCCTTTGGATGGCCATCCAGCCTCTGTTTAAAAACCAGCAGAGAAGGATACTCCACCACGCATTGGTCACTCTAGATCAGAAGGTCACTAGGCTGTAAATCAGATGTTCTCCCTGGTTCTGCCCTGTGACATTCTGCAGCCACATCACCAAATATTATTGCAGAGCTTCACTTACTAAAATGGATATATTCTATTTTATGTTCCCTAGTATGCCATGGAATGTAAGTTAATGTCCTCCAAAGTTCAATACAATGATGCTGCAAAAGTCACCTTCTGTTCTTCGAGTCAGGGAACCAACTGTCCTGTTCCTGATTCTTCTTGACAGCTCTCGCTTCCTCCCACGCCCTGGCAGGCTTTTATCTTGGCCTCAGAAACGTCTGGGAAACATCTTCTGCGGTATAGCATTTCTTGTATAATTCTGCACATGCAAACCACTGTGCTATGTATTTTTAAAAATCCAACATATTATTGTATCTTTGAAACTGAGAGAAGTAGTATGAGCCTTCCCTGGGTCCTGGGATTTGTAGCTTGATGAGGCACCAGACCTCTTTGGCAAAGAAAGTAGTTAAAGTGGTTTCAAACTGCATTAATTCTACAATGCAGATGCACTACTTCTCCAGATACCAGCCTTCATAGACTTAGGTCTACTCCTTCCTACTTCTGTGGAAGTAGACCTAGGGTGCATCTGCACGGTGGAATTAATGTGTTTTGACACCACTATAACTGTCATGAGATTTGTAGTTTTACAAAGTTTGTAGCATCCTCTCTAAACTACAACTCTGATGATTCCATAGCACTAACCCATAGCAGTAAAAGTGGTCTCAAACTGCATTAATTCTGGGTTGATGTGAGTTTTTCAGGCTGTATGGCCATGTTCCAGTAGCATTCTCTCCTGATGTTTCACCCACATCTATGGCAGGCAAGTTGAGAGGTCTGTTGGAAACTAGACAAGTGGAGTTTATACAGTGGGGGGGGGGGGAGTATTTAGTCAGATACCAATATTTAGTCAGATAACGAATTTGCAAATTATGGTGGAAAATAAGTACTTGGTCCATAACAAAAGTTCATCTCAATACTTTGTTATATATCCTTTATTGGCAATGACAGAGGACAAATGTTTTCTGTAAGTCCTCACAAGGTTGGTACACACTGTTGCTGGTATGTTGGCTCATTCTTCCATGCAGATCTCCTCAAGAGCAATGATATTTTGGGACTGCCGCTGAGCAACAAGGACTTTCAACTCCCTACAAAGGTTTTCTATATTTCAAGGACCACTCCAGGACCTTGAAATGCTTCTTACGAAGCCACTCCTTTGTTGCCCTGGCGGTGTGCTTGGGATCATTGTCATGCTGAAACACCCAGCCATGTTTCATCTTTAGTGCCCTTGCTGATGGAAGGAGGTTTGCACTCAAAATCTCATGATACATAGACCCATTCATTATTTCATGTATACGGATCAGTTGCCCTGGTCCCTTTGCAGAGACAGCCCCAAAGCATGATGTCGCCACCCCCATGCTTCACAGTAAGTATGGTGTTCTTTGGATGCATCTCAGCATTCTTTCTCCAAACATGACGAGTTGTGTTTCTGCCAAACAGTTCTACTTTGGTTTCATCTGACCATATGACATTACCCCAATACTTTTCTGGATCATCCAAATGCTCTCTAGCAAACTTCAGTCGGCCCCGGACATGTACTGGCTGGCTTAATCAGGGGGACACGTCTGGCACTGCAGGATCTGAGTCCCTGGCGGCGTAGTGTGTTACTGATGGTAGCCTTTGTTACGTTGGTCCCAGCTCTCTGCAGGTCATTCACTAGATTCCCCCATGTAGTTCTGGGATTTTTGCTCACCGTTCTTGTGATCATTTTGATCCCACGGGATGAGATCTTGCATGGAGCCCCAGTTTGAGGGATATTATCAGTGGTCTTGTATCTCTTCCGTTTTCTAATTATTGCTCCCACAGTTGATTTCTTCACACCAAGCTGCTTGTCTATTGCAGATTCAGTCTTCCCAGTCTGGTGCAGGGCAACAATTTTGTTTCTGGTGTCCTTCGAC